AATGGATCCAAAAAAATCCACAAAATTACAAATGTAATATTTGAAACAAGGATCCGAAGAAAAAACTTTGACTTTTTGTGGGAAGTACTTGCAAAAAGGCTAAACAACCTAGAAGATGAAAAAAAAAGGTTTTTCAAATGTGTGGTGATAGAAGCCACCAAAAACAAGGTCATAATTGGAATGCACACGCTAGACACACCTTCTCCAGGTTTTCCATGGCCAGCTACCGGCAAGGTTGTGTAACATAACAAGGTCATAATTGGAATGTTTTGTTAATTACGAATATGAGGGGCTGTGTATAGTAAATATGAGGCTGTAAATAGAATCAGCCCTCCACTATTTATTATGTGGATTAGAAACCCTTTTAATTATTTGACATTTGGACTATCTAATAGAGACTAGACTTGCTTGCAATGGAGATGCTTTGATAGTGCACGATAAAAAGGATAATTGTCTGGTCATAGGTAGAAATTTATTTAATAAAAAATTGAAATATGAATAATCATCTGGGAGATTTATTTTCATTGGGGAATTGGCTCTAATTATATCCGTTTTCACTGTCATCATATATAATGCCTAAAAAATATGAAGTGTATATGAGGTGAAAAGACTAGTAAAAATTATGATCCGTTAATACACCTAATTCTAAACCAATATCTTTTCAACACTTTTTTTTTACAAAAATCTGAAGATCGGATTGGTAGAGTTTTATTGCTTTTTTTTCTTGAATTATCCCAAGTGCTAAAATTAAGATTTCATGGTGATATGATATCTTTCAGTTTTTTTTTTTTTTTTTTTTTTTTTTGCATTTGAAGTAACAAAATAATTATTTATGAAATTTCTTTTTTTCAAATAATTAAATCTTTCATATTTTCTCTTTCAAATATTTGTAACCATATAATTTCAATAAACATCACTCTAAACCACCTTATATTGTCATTGCAAATTTGCATGTTTATACTTTATATATAGGGGGATAGAATTTGTATCCCACTTTTTGAATTGGGTGATATTGAACTTTACACCTTTAAAAAATCTTTGATTTTACACGCCATCATATAACATTTTGTGAAGAAAAATTTCTGAATTGAGTCCAAAGTTGTAGGATTGTCAAGTGAAAGGAGATGCAAAGTCAAAAGTTTTTAGAAATAGGGTGCAACGTAATGTCCAATATCATCCACATAGAATGTTAGGTGAATATATTGATAGTGCTAGAATGAGGTTTAAATGAGGTTTTTTGACATTAATTAAATGGTTACAATTAAAGGATGCAAAAAAAATTTACTGGGGTAAAACATGTAAAAATTTGAAAAACTCACAGCCCATAAATATCGATCTGAAAGATGAATTTGAAAAAATCACAGCCCGACTTTAACCCCACCTTATCCTTCCCTTCTCTATCATGGAACCATGGTTGCGTTTTCTATCCGGTTAGAGTAGTTTCCGACTTTCCGTACTCCGGAGTAATAATTTCTAGATTCAAGGAAAGTCGCCGCGGTTTTCGTTCAGTATTTCATAAGTACTTCCTCCGTTCTAGTTTGCGACATTTCACACTTGCCGAGACACAACTTTGATCATTAATATAAATGATTTTGTGTTAGCAAAAAAATTAAAAAAATTAGATTATGAAAATTTACAATGAGACAAGTTTAACAATATTTTTTCATAAAATAATATTATTACATTAATAAATAAAACGTAGTCAAAGTAGAACATGTGAATAGTGTAAAAGTCAAAGTGTTGCATTTATTTAAGAACGGAGGTAGTATATTTTGGAAAAAGGTGACAATTTTGGTATCCTTTTAAAAATTAGGGTATTGTACCTATGATGCATTTGATTGGTCTAAATCATTCTATTTCTTTTAATTTAAATTTAATAAATTCAACTGCATCATTCATATTAGTCCTGGTGGACAAAGGTATGGTATCTTAAGGTATATAGAATCTCCCTTGGAAAAATACTCCGTTATACATATCACAAGTGTCAAGTAGGTCATCCATTAGACCATTACATCACCCAAATATACTCTCACATTTATGTACTGTATGTAGACATGTACTAATAAATGAAGGAAGTTTGTCTGTTGGCTCCATAAAATGTATGTAGTATTTTCCGTAAATATAACTGAGTTATTTGTTCAGGAATATTTATAAAAATAACTTTCTAATTAAGTACGTAACTACATAAGTGTTCCTTAATCAAAATTAATTAGTATTTCTTTTATAAAGAAATACATTTTGAATCCTTTAAAAAGTAGAAGCCAGTGGTTTAATTTTCTCTTCAATACGTTTGATAAATTTTAGCTAAAGTAAAATTAATGATTTCCAATTTCAAGATTTTAATTTTATATCAATTAAATTATACCAACGTAATGTTTTGAAATTTTGTGAAGAAGTGTTGTTTTGTCTATTTAATAAAAGAAACTGAATAGAATAGGAGTAATTATATAATTATTTATACGCACGTTTGGTGACTCCGAAAAACACGTAATCGGCCAACTTTTTGATCAAACACGTAACTTTTGATTTGATGCGCTGAATTGTGTAATAATAAGAAACAGTAAGATTGAAGTTACTTTTCTGACTGTATTGGTTGAATTTCGTGTAGATGACGATTTTAGCTAGTTTTTCATATAATTTTTTTCTTTATTTTATTAATAAAATATATTTTAAATATTTTTTTCCCATAAATCAGCAGAATCAACCAATACAGTCACTTCAGCCAGAACTTTATAAATTTCAGTAGAATAAGCCGATCAACCGGTTTTAGTGTTACCAAAGGAGATATTAAAAAAGTTCTAAGTCTATGGGTATGTTTGGCACAACTAGCTGAAAGGTATTTTTATAAGTTTTTTAACGACTGTTAGCTTTTAATAACTGAAAGAACTTAAAAAGAAAAGGTGATAGCTATTTGGTAAAAAACTGACTGTTTGTTTTAGTTCGGTTTGGTATACAAGCTGTTAGGAGTAATTAGTACTAAAAGTCACGGGCTTTTCTCGGATGCTACTCCCCGTAGCATCTCAAAAAAGATCTTTTAATTTTTGAGAAGTTCTTAAAAATTGTCATGTCAAACATACAACTAGAAACTTTTAAAGACTTTTTGAACAGTACAAAAGCTAGAAGACAGAGACTTATGCCCGCCAAACATAGCCTATGTTCTCTTTTTAAAGACTATTGAAACAATAAAAGAAATACCCCCAAACTTTACTTTCTTAAATAAGAGAGCATGAGCCTATTTTATAAAAAGACTATAATATGCAAATTGACTGAATTTTACTCCTATTTAAGTTATTCTCATGAAATCGAACTAATGTGTGTTTCACTGAAAGTTCGTTGGAGAAAGTTTGTAATGACCGTCTGAGGTCATCACTGAAGTACATTTTTACTTCATTATTTCTCCTAATAATTAAACATCTTAAATTAAAAATGACATTTACAACAAGCCACCTACCACGCAATCATGTTCTACAAATTCTCATTGACGAAAAAAAGTTAATCAAAAAGCAATATACGATAGATTTAGTCAAATCAATAAATAATTTTAGGAGCATGCATATATACGACTAATGATAATATACGAGTAGAAAATATATGGGAATATTAAAGTCTTAGCTTGACTTTTGAAAATTAGAATCAAAATTCCAAATTTCAGAAAATCACACAAAAAAGGGTCTTACAGTCAGGGGCAGAGCCGGGGGCAGGGTGATTAGCCGATCCGCTGAAAGTTCAACTACGTAGAGCTCTGAAATACCTTCGATTTAATATATTATGGGTCTCGTAACTCATTACAAGCAAAAAGTTATGACTTCTGAAAAATCAGCACCATCTTAACTTGAAAGAAACAAAATTTGATGTGTGACGTTGATTATATTCTTAAATTTAAAAATAAAGAACCTTATTTAGTCATTAGTTGTGTGAATATTATGATACATTACATATATATCAATACATTAACTGAAAAAGTCTCATTAAATTACCATTTATCTTAGCTACATATGAAACATTTAACTCAAGTATTGTATAATAACTATCCATTATTTTGATACTGTATATAATTAAATTCCGACTCCCTCACACGTTTTTCTGGCTCCGCCCCTGTTTATAATTATTGAAAATTAATACAAGCAAAATAAATACACGATATACTCCTTTACACCAATGGTATATTTTAGGGATGGACCCAGGCCGGTCCGGTTCCGGTTCCGGGCCGGGCCCAGGCGGGCTTTTTTTCGGGTTACATGGGCCCGGAACCGGCCCGGGTTGATACCGGGTCCGGGCCTAACCGGGCCGGGCCGGGCCCGATTCAATGTTTTTTTTTTTTTTGACTTTCTTGTTATCTCCCTACCCCCCCCCCCTCACCCCCACGCCCCAAACCTCCCTAAAACACCCAGCCCTACCCTAGGAAAAGAAAAAAAATTGAAAAAACCAAAAAAAAAATGAACCGGGCCCGGCCCGAACCGCCCGGGCCGGTTCAACAAAAATAGGGCCCGGAACCGGCCCGCCCGACCCGCCAACACGGGCTAAAAGCCCGGAACCGGCCAACCGGGCCCGGTCCGGTCCGGGCCCGCACAGTAGCGGGCCGGTCCGGTTCCGGGCCGGTTCGGCCCGGCCCAGTCCATCCCTAGTATATATGTCTAATTTAATTATGTCTTCATTTCAACTATGTAATACTTGAATTGGTGACACTGCTAGTTTTGCTGTAAAAAAATTAGATTTTAAATATATAAATTTTATTTACTTAAAGACTATTTTATACTAGGTACTAATACGTACTCCGTATTATAGAGCACAAAAGCTAGGTAAGTTTTGTTTTTCATAATTACGTAATTTGTGTAAAAACAATGGGAGCCATAAAATAAACTAAAACGGATAAAAAGCAATATAATGCGGGTGATCAGATCGAATTAATTACTTAAAACAGCAAATTAGCCTTGAAAGTGGGAGTAAAAGGGGAAAGTATTTCAAAGGAAAGATTCTTGTTGTCGGAGGAAAACGAAAGAGGGCACCCACAAATCTATAAATAACGCTACAAGAAAGGAATTGAAGAGTAACTCCAAGTCTGAATTCCCATTTCCCTTGGCTTCTAAATTTGAGAGAATATAGTGTCTCACTTCTCACCGGAAAAGATGGTGCTTAAGGTCTACGGCATGGTGATGTCACCGGCAGTGTTGAAAGTTATTGCCTGTCTCAAAGAGAAGGAGCTCGATTACGAGTTTGTTGTTGTTGATTTTCAGGCCGGAGAACTCAAAAAACAACCTTTCCTTAGCCTTAATGTGAGCAAACTGTACTTAATAATTACATGCTCCGTATAATATTGTCCAAACTCTGGTTAGTTTGTATATATTGGTAATAGACTAAAAGTATATGCTAATTAATTGTCATTGCAGCCTTTTGGTAAAATGCCAGCCTTCCAGGATGGAGATTTGACCCTCTTTGGTAATGTTATTTAACTTATTACTACGTCTTTTTAAGGTTTTTGGCATATTGATTTTTCTTGGTTAATGACGATAAATTTAGGGTAAAAATATTAATTATTATATTTGCATAATATTTATAAATTTTATACCTTTATGAAAATATTTTGTATAAGGAACATTTTAATATGGAGTATACTTTTCATAGTCAAAAGGCTTAAATATGTGTTTAGTTCCTGCAAATATGATACACTTTTGTTTTAGGTCCTTGAAAAAATATATTTTCATCTATGTAATATGCACTATTTTTTTAGTCTGTCTCTAATTCCGAAATCACTCTACTTAATTAGAAAAAAAAGTTATTGTTAGTTGCATAAATCTACTAGACATATTTAAATTTGTCTTGTTATAATTTTTTTGAGGCTACAATGAGAGTTAAATGTAAAACTTAGGATTCAGATTTTAAAAATAAAAACTTATGAAAAGTAAAATTAAAAACTTTTTGTATAACATGACAAAGTATTACTATATTGCATGAAATTTATTTTTGAGGTCAAGCAGAGATTGTTATCATCGGTAATGGATTAAAAAGAGAACCAACACAATTAAATTGCAGGGGCGACTAATTAAAATACAGTGATGTTAAACAAAATGTACTATATGTGTAGGGACTAAAAACATATTTACAACTATTCAAAATAATTTTGTAATAAAAAAATCATTAATTAATTAGTCAAAGTCGACTAATTAATCTCAAAATAATCAAATCTTTTGTGAGCCTTGCACTCACTAATAATACTAGTTTCACAATAATCTTGAGATAATCTGGATTCCTATTTCAATCTCAGATTATTTTTTCAAATAATCTTACCAAATAATCTCCATCACTCAATCATAATCCGTAAATTAATCTACCACATCACTTAACCCTCTAATAATCCTTTGAATGGAGATGCCCTAGGAGGGGGAAATATTATATATTTGTCAAAAGAAGTTATTATTACTACAATTAGTTGTTGTTGTTGTTGTTGTTGTTGTTTCTATGAAGGCCTGAAAGAGTCAATGGAAAGAAATCTTTAATTTGAAGTTATTCCACAAACGACCAAACACTTTGACTTTTTTATCCTAAACTGCCAACGATAATGCAATATTTAAGAAAATTGCCCCCAAATAGGAGAAACAATCCAAAAAAGACTATATAGTGTTTGTATTCACAAATAGGAGAAAAAATACTCTATCTTCCTATTTTGTTACCATAATTTAACTAGAAAATCATATTTTATTTATAATAAAACCGATTAATATATATTTTATATTTATAAATAAAATCGTAATTGAACCTAATTAACAGAATGGCCTATATACGTTTTTAGACGTGCCTATATACATATATGCATGTACTACACATATACTGTACTTTCGTATATACGTAGTGCTTACTCAGTTCGATCCTTTTCATTGGTTTTTATTTTCACGTTTGACAACGCACAACTTTAACTATTATATATTTAACTTTCTAATTGATTTTTTTAAAATCACATTTTGAAAATCTAAAATGAGAAGAATTGAATTATATTTTTAATACTTTTAATGCATTCATAAATAAAATATAGTTAAAGTAGAACACATAAATAGTATAAAATTTATAATGTTGCAACTATTTAAGAATTGAGTTAGTATAACATATATAATACGGAGTACATATGTGTAGTAAATATACGAAGTATATAAAGAGACTAATGTAATCTAATGTGTTAGTGTTTTACAGGTTAAATAAATATAAATACGAGAGGACTAGCTCATAAGCTTATCTAATGTAATATAATGTAATAAATCAATAGTTCATTGCGATAGCGGGAGTAGTCAAAGACAAAGACATATAATCATATCATTCAATACGGAGTATTTTGGATAATTGTATTTTATGTAGAAAAATATTTAAATTTTAATCCATACCACAGTACCGCCTGACTGAGGGGTGTTTGGATCTGATTCTCAAAACTGATTCTGCTTCTTCAGGGAGCAGAAGCAGAAGCTGAAGTGTTTGAGTGAAATTCCAAAAGTACTTCTGGTGCTCTAATTTACTCCCAGAAAACTGATTCTGATTCTGTTTCTGTTTTAACAGTTCCAAACACCCCTCAATTTTAAAAATACTACGGAAGAACGGAGTAATAAGTCATATACAAAGCTCTATCTCATGCTGGCCAATAAAAAATGTAAACTCGATCACAAATATGACATTTAAAATAGAACCTCGATCAAGTGTTACCTTAACTAATGAATAGATTATTGAATAAAATTTTCGATATCAGTATGCTTTGAAATACTCCCTCCCGTCCCTAAAAGAACTTCCAACTTCCCATTTTCGTCCGTCCAAAAAAGAATTTCACTTTCTCTTTTTGGCAAAGAATTTGTGGTTCACAACAATTCTCTCTCCTCTGCACAACTCTCCACCACACAATTCTCACTTTCTTAATCAGTGTGTCACTTTATTTTGGAAGAACATTTAGGGGCGGAGGTAGTACATTTTATTTTGTAGAGAGTGATAATATTGGTAGAGTCTCATAATGAGCTTATTAATAATCAAAATATGTTGTGAATGTTGTTTATCTCATCTTGTAGAGTCTAGAGCAATCACTCAATATATTGCACACACATATGTTGACCGTGGAAGCCAGTTGGTCCCGAGAGACCATAAAGAAATGGCAATCATGTCGGTGTGGATGGAGGTTGAGGCTCACGAATTTGATGCGGCAGCGAACAAGCTCAACTACGAGGTCAACGTAAAGCCCATGTTTGGCATGGTGACCGATGATGCAGCGGCGGCGAAACACGAGGAGGCGCTTGCCAAGGTTCTTGACGTGTACGAGAAACGACTTCAGGTGTCAAAATGCCTGGCCGGGGACTGCTTCACATTGGTTGATCTTCACCATACACCTCTCATACACTACCTCATGGCTTCTAAATTCAAAGCTCTTTTCGAAGCGCGTCCGCACGTTGATGCGTGGGTTCGTTATATCCTGACAAGGCCTGCTTGGTTAAAGGTTCAGGAGCTGATGAAGCAGAACTCTATCCCCGCTTCTTAATTCAAGCATATATGTGTATGAGTTACGTCTGAGAACTTCATCGTTTGTCTTGAGTTTTAGATGCTTCATCTGATTTTTCTCATTACTATTTATGTTGTGTTGTTGTACTTTTGAGGTTTCTCTTATCTGGGAGTTACGGTTGCATTTTACTACTATACATGCAGTAATAATGTTGCGGAAATTTTATTTATAAAATTGTCCAATGCCATGTACTTTGATCATATTAATTTATGAGTTACTTGCTCTACGTACTCTTGGTTTCACAATTCACATGTTAACAAGATTCTTGTTCCAAATTTAGTTTTTCTATTTTTCATTTTTTGGGGAAAATGAATTTTTTGTAGGATCGATGCACCCCTTTTCTCAAGCTTTTCGGTGTACCAATTCTTAGGTTTTCCTGCATTGGGCTCGCTTAATTACTATATATAGTGTCCTACGATTAAATAGCAGTCATCCATATATTATCTTAAAACCAATTGGTGATAAGGAAGTTGACACACTCTATTTAACACATAACTCTAGCTGTAGTAATTAACTCAGTAAATGTAAATTCTTGTGAGGCACCCCCACAATTCATTGCGGCACGTACAACAGAGACTCACTACTAAGCGGTTGATAGACATGATCGATCGAGAAACAACATCACATCGTGGTGTCAACAAATCAGTCCTAATCAAAGAATGAAACCTTAAATCAAAGGATGTTATTGATCCCCATAAGATTAACAATTTTATTAACAAAAAAGGGATGTATAAGTAAGAAGTTATTATTTAAAAAAACATAAAGAAAAGTCGAAAACAAGAAATACGAGAAATTTAAATAAAGCCAATCCTAAATGCATCCAAGTGACCATCCTTAGAATCTCAATCATCTCATTCAAGATGAGATATTTAAATATATATGAGTATTGAACTACTCATATATATGTGGTACTACAATATTTAACTATACATAATAATATTTAAATGGTGTAAGTAGTTTTTTTGTAGTTTTTTGGCTGAACAACGTATTTGTTAATGTTAGATGTCAGCATCCTTTATTGGGATGAGTTTTGAATTTATCACATTCTTCTTGAATTGGGAGTATCGCAATGATTCCATCGAATCACAATATCATCACAATATGCTTGGCAAATGGTGTAAATAGTTAAAGTTTACATATTTAACACATTCACTTAAAATATAAATTTAACCACATCCAATAAATTCATACTATCGTATATTATAAAATATCATAAAATGTATGATTATAAATAATGGGCTATGTAATCTTTATTGACTATTGTCTTCCCTCACTTGCTTTACACATTTATCCATTTTATTCTTTCATGATTATGTGACATTAAATTTTCATTATCACTGTAATGTTTTCATCTCACTATTGAATTAAATCGGTACTATGTTTTGTTTCTTTTTCATTAATACAAAAAATTAAATTATTTAGAATATATTCCTGATGTACAAGGTATGAATAGATTACTATGACATACATAGTACTCCCTCTGTCCCCTTTTAAACGTCCCGGAAGAGAGTGACACGAGTTTTAAGAAAAGTAGGTTTGTGTGGTTGATATTAATTGATGAAGTAAGAATAAAGTAAAAATAATTTTGAGCCACACAAACTTTACCAAATAAGATATGGGACAATTAAATAGGGACATTCCAATATGGTAAAACTGGACATTTAAAAGGGGACGAAGGGAGTATTACTTTTTACGATGATATCATGTACTCCCTCTATTTCAAAATAAACTTAAAAGATTTTTTTGCCTGTCCCAATACATATTTGTTCGTTCTTTTATAGCAAAAGAATTTGTGATTCATACCTTTTTTGTTTCATCTACACAATTTTTAACAACACAATTTATACCTTTTAATCATCTTGCCATATCAAAATAAGAATTAACTATGAGACGAAGAGAATAACAATTTCACGTTTTCATCTTATAGAAACTATCACTTCGTGCACCGCATCGTGCATCACACAGGCGAAAAACTCGTGTATTGCAAAGAAAAAAAAGTAACATAGAATATCAGGTCGTCAATCGGTCAGAGACCATCGAATGAAAATGATGTGTAAAGATTGAACGATTTCATAATTAAGATTAGATTGGATTGTTTTAAAAAGAACGCTACAATATTGAATTATTAGTCTCCATTTTTCCTGTATGGAATGGTTTTATCCGGCCCCAACAGCTCAAAGTGCCCAAATTTAACCCAATGGAATGGTTTTATCCGGCCCCAAGAGCTCAAAGTGCCTAAGAAGCTGTTCTCTTCGCCTGATCTGAATGTTTCTTATCTGAATTTTTTAAGTTCTGATATGATCTGATCTGAATTTTTCTGATCTGATCTGAATCTTCTGATCTGATCTGATCTGATCTTAATCTTTCTGATCTGATCTGAATCTTCCTGATCTAATCTGAATGTTTCTGATCTGGTCTGATCTGATCTGAATGTTTCTGATCTGATCTGAATCCTTCTGATCTGATCTGAATCTTTCTGATCTGATCTGATTTGAATATTTCTATGATTATAATTATAATTATAATTATTATTATTATTATAATTGCAATTACAAATATAACTTAAATAAAATTATAATTATAATCTTAACTATAAAAATAATAATAATAATTAAAATTAAATTTAAAATGAAAAAAATTATAGGAGAGGATGGCTAACTTATGGCTTACAAGAGAGGCTAATGGGCTAATATTCAATTGTGGCCCATATTACACATTTAACTAACAACTACACAAATACAAATACATCTAACTAGATTGGACACCAGAAAAAGTCCTAACAATCTCCCCCTTGGTGTTCAATCTTGTTAGATCAGCATTGCAGCGCGGATGTCTTTGTCTTTGTGTTCAGTTGCTCCTCAATGCAGCTCAACTTCCTTTGTCTTTGCGCTCGGCTTCTTGAAAAGGCTTTTTGAAGAAATCCTTGCAATCTCCCCTTTGATGTCTTCATGACAATTTGTTCTTTGATGTCGGGGAGTTGAAGAATCTTCAGGATGTAGCTTGTGACCTTTACCTTTCAGAAGTTGCTCTTGATCAGCATTAATGAATTCCGATGGCGCCTCTGGAATGAGTGTTCAGGTGATATACAGGCGCACACAGAATTCATCTTCAGAACTTGAATACTTGACCTTTGTCTCCTCAAAGTTTACATTGCACAGCGGAAAATTATTGTCTTTGAGAAGATCTCGTCAGCGGCACAGCGGAATAAGATAGTTGACTTGTGAGCGTAGCTGACCATTTGACTTGAAGCTGGCTTGGCCACTTAGCAGTAGAGATAGTGGAGAAAGTGTCCAAAAATGATTTGTTGATAGTGAACAACATGTGGACTACTCTCCCCCTCATGACGATCCGATGAATCGGGGCGTCATGCCTTTATTCTTTTATTCTGGGTAACAAAATTGAAATCAAACAGAAAAGTTAAAGGATAAAGACCGGATACACAGAAGTGTTCCGTTAACACAACATCAATGTAAACACTGATGTGTGGCCTGTATAAAATGATAGAAGCATTAAAGCTCTAACAGGACTTCCAACCAATCATTGTGAAGCATCTGAAGTAGATGTCACTCTGGTTGTTAAGGCGTGATCATAAAGATCAACAATGAAAATCGTAGCCCCCGAGGTCGCGTAGACACCCGTTATCATCACTATAGAGATAAACTCTAAAGCGATGGCCTGAACATGTTGGTGATTTCTATGTTGCAACAACAGGACTTCCTTCCAATCATCGGTCTATCTATAGTAGATGAGCCCTATGGAAGTTCTCGCATGGTCACTTGGATCTGCAACTGACTCAAAAGTGTGTCTGTGTCCTAGAAAATTTAAAAACATTTGGGAGTGAGATAACTAGACACATCGTGATCAATGAAAGTCAAGTGGCATGGGGCTGAGGCCACTGTAGTCAGTATCACTTGCCTCGGAAAGAGACAGTAATGAGAGATGAGGTTCCCCGTGAAATATGGTTAAACATTTGTCTGTTGGGAGACAAATGAGTGGTCTTGGGTAGGGTTGTGCATGCACTGTTTGGACAAGATGCAGTGACTTCTACCCGGGATCTGAATAAATTCAGTCCTGAACCTATGGGGATTGTCCAGAGTATTTGAGTGACTGGGAGTAAATGTTCAATTGATAGCAGGCAGTTGAGGTAGCAGACTTATCATTGATTATTGTTCTCTTGCTCGATTGAGCCTACTGCTTCCTAACGCTCATAGAGTTCACTCACTCATTCATTCACTCGCTTACTCTTGGCTTTGTCCTTTGGGTAGGCTTAGTTGGGTTTACTAAGCCATAGGGGCTTCTCTCTCTTTCTCTTTGTTTCTTCATTTTCTCTCTGTACTCCCCCTCAACTGGAGCACTCAGTATGCTTTTTCATCGTCCGGTACCGAGGAGGACAAAATTGAAAACTCCCCCTCAAATGTTGCATCCTTTGAGCGAATCCTTGCTTTGTCGTTGTGTGGGGCCAGGAGGAGAAAAATTTAGCTCCCCCTCAGATTGTGCAAGGTTTGATTGCTCACAGCTTGATATACCCGCCATGTGTATGGAGCAATCTGAACGGGTACCACACATGACAGTTTCCCTGAGCTCATCATCTAAACTTTCAGCACATTGATGATCACACATTGTATTGTTGATGAGTTAGGGGAGGCATCAATAGTTGATTGTTGATTGTTGTGAAATGACCGTTGACGCGAGGTTGATTGAATTATCTACGAGTTCCGGACCTTACAGTGTAGATTAGACCAACTTTGACATTTGGTTTGACTTTGGTTTGATTTTGGAAGAATTGACCAGATTTGCCTCAGTTTTGACCTTGACTTTGACTTTGGTGATTTTTCGGAAAACAAGTGATATCTCCCTCAAAAACGGCGAGTGAGGGAGCGTGAGATTGGGTTCTGGGGTTTCCCTCAGAACTCATGTAGATCTTTTCACGAGCTTTCCGAAAAGGTATTATACGCGTAAATCGGATCACCGAGTCAAAAGTTATGGCCAAAACAGTGCAGGACATCGAAAAGTTTGAATTTTTAACTTTGAAAAACTTTTCGAAGTTGAGGTTCTCGATGTTGGACCTCGAAAACCTGTTCTCGATGTTTAACCTCGAAAACCTGTTCTCGATGTTGAATATCGAATTCATCTTCTCGATAATTGAGTATCGAAAACATCTTCTCGATGTTGAGTATCGAAAACATCTTCTCGATATTGAGTATCGATAACGTCTTCTCGATGATGAATATCGAAAACTTCTTCTCGATGA